GCTCTACTGGGTAGACTTTAAGCTTCTTTTCAAAGGCAAATAATTCACTCAGATTTTTCCATTAGGGTATTGTCTTTTTTTCATACCTCCATTACTTCAACCCCACTGATCCTACCCTATAACAATTCTGTCTCAGTACCTTTTTACAAGTTTTTATCAAGCTGATCTTCAAAGTATTTGACTGCTACATAATGATTTTTACATTAAATGTGCAAGAATCTCCCATCATTTCCTCAGGTAGGGAGCTACCACTCTCTAGAAAGATTCCTCAAAAAAGGTTATCACCTCCATAGACATTTTGCTGACCAATACTATACATTTTCTGTGCTTTTATACTCTTAAGGCAATCTCCATACTACCTGGATTTTATCCTTTTAGCTGTTCTTTCGTATTTCCTTTTAAACTTACTGTGTTTTCTCCTTTAAAGTAGCTCTGGTACACTTTGCCTTCCTCCTTTCAAAGGCACAGTAAGCAGTACTCACCAGTAAGTCCAGAGCTGCCTCTCCATTCACAGAGCGAGCAGGCTGATAACTGGGATATTACGGAGCCTTAACTCCACAGAACTGATGAGTGTTATCTGTCCCCCCCTAAACCAAGACTCCCAGTCTTACAGAGTCTCCAGTTGGAACATCATCCTCAAAAATATTAGTTTGTCAGGGTCACGAGGATCATCCAAGAATCAGTGATAGAATGTTAGGTTAGAGTCTTACTACATATATATGGAGCTGAAGCTCCCAAAAAGCCTTTGGTGCATTCTGGCAGTTAAACTTGGTTGCTGTGGCCGGATCATGATCACTGCTCTCAGCTAGATGTATGGTGACACTATTTCTAACCCAGCACTTCGTCTCTCTGAGGTATGAGGTGACCATTGCATATCAATGTATTAAGACCATGGACTCCATTCATATTGTCGACTGTGGCAATTATAGACTGTACATGAAAAGCACATGTATGCACTTGACATGGGCCTGACTTAGTTTTATTGATGCTACTTAATGGGTATTTGTTCAGACTGTCTCCCATCTCGATTTTCTCCTCTATCCACAGGAACTGATACACCAGTGATTCAGGACTCTGAATGTCCACAATTTAGCCATCCTTGCCTTGAGAAACCATACTCTTCAGAGCAAAACCATACTTCAACTTCATTTGATTACAATATACTTGATACTCTTGCTGGACTTTTGGAAGGTTTATTTTCAAACTTGCAGACCAATAGGCACAATTTCTAATCTCGTTTGTTGGAGGGAGGTAAGAGGGGCAGGAAGGTTGGCAAAGCCCAGATTTTATTCCCCAGAAAACAGACTTAAGTGATTCAGGTAATTTTTTTGTCCTGATTTGGCATTTCTTAAACGGTAAGTATTTAAAGCTCGTGCTTCAGATGAACCATTTCAGAAATACAGCAGGTCATCAGCAACTTCCTACAGCCTCAGAAGAAGTACATACACTATAATTCAACAGCATATGAAAGAAGCAGTTGTAAGAACCACTGCCAGCCTCCCTTAAAGGAAGCATTATTGCTGTTAGCAGAATACCACACTTTTATACTACCTGCAAGCCCCAGAAGGTAGGGAACCGACAGGCATGTACAGAAGATTTATACAGGAGTAGAAAGGTTAAACATTCTCCCAAGCTAAGACAGGTCAGACAAAACAGAGAGAAGAGGCAAAATTATTCTGTAACTTAATCCCACAATTTCATTACCAGCTTTCAAGCTGGGAGGACAACATCTGTTGAAGTCTATACATACACCACCACTGAAGCCTAGCAAGAGGTTACCAATGGATCTAATACAGGGTTTGACATCCATAGCATCTGACTATAGGCACTTCTCAACATAAAGTACATCAACAAGTAACTTCATGTAATACTAAACAGCACATCTCAACACTAATCTCCAAGACAAAACTGAACTGTTTCACTGAATAAATAATACAGACTCCAAATATTAGAAAGAGAAAATACGGCATAGACAAAACCCTACAAATCCCAAAAATGATGACAGCTAAAGAATCTGAACTGTGAGGCCGCTCCTAAACACAAGGGTATTAATGCACCATATGCAAAGTGCAAATAGTAAAAATGAGTAACAGCATGTTACTATTGCCATTATGATACTCAGTCAGGATGTACTATTAAGGAACAAGAACATACAACAAACATACAACACTTATCAAGCTGTGCTACAACATTACATCTCAACTGTTACACAACTCAGACTTAAGTTTATAAGGCTTTTGCAACAAGTTATTGCTTCTCCCCAGTTCACCATATGTAAAGAACAATAACTTACCAGTGTGTTTGACAGAACCACAGTGCTGCACCAAGTACTCTATGTCTTGTTAGAAATCAAAAATAGATGTTGAGCAGTATTTCTAATTTCAAGTTCCTCAGCATTTTGTTATTTTTTAAAATAAACCATAAGAAAACCCAGAGGATTTACTAGATGTTGTTAGATAAATTAGTGTTCTCACTTCTACCCTGAATTTCTGAATATTCTTCCAAAACCAGATACAAAGAGCTACATAACAAGAATCTCTCCCTAACACCTGCCACTTGAAGGAAAAATAACTTCTAGTTCCCTCAAAATATCAAATCTGAAATTAATTTCATATGCCAATGAAGAAAACTACTGCATATGTTAGGACAAAGGGAACTTTGTTTCATGGTGATACAAAACACAAAAATGCTAAGACAAGAGATTTAAGAGATACTAGACCTTGGGGGGGAAAAAAATAAATCAAAGAATGCCACAGTCCCTGTAAAACTGCCTTTAACACACTCAGTGGGCAGCAGCAACATAGAATACAGCCACCCTCGCCAGATCAGTGTTTCAGCTCTGGTATCTGTCAACAAGAAGCTACAAAAAACTCAGTTTTAGCCACCTGTGGAGAAGGGAAAATGTCTTCCTGATTTCTCAGTTGATATTTGGTTTATGACAGAACACAGAACTACACAGAACTCTTGAAGTCAAAATGCAATGGCCTGTGAAATTCTAAATTATCAGCATAACAGTACCCCATACCGCCAGCACATTCAAAGAATTATTTTTCAGTGACTTAGCATTTGGGACCCTCGCGCTCACCCACACATACTTCACTAGTATCATCCATGAAACTGTGCGCAGAGGTGCACAGGATGCTTACTACATGCCAAAGAACAAGTAGCACTGCAGTAACACTGCCACTTGATGCCTTAAGATGGGACATAAAGACCTTTCTGGGGAAAAAAAAAAACTAAAAAGATTACTGTAAAGTTTTGAATAACATTGAGATTCTAAGGAAATAATTAAATCTAACAAGCTTGATCCTTTGCTTAACATAAAAAATGTTTAACTGCATAATACATCCAAACTACCTGAAAGGGCAATACATATAGCTTCTGCAAACTAAAAAAAATAAAATAAAAAATTCAAGAAAGCCCTAAACCAATCAGCTGTACCTGTACATGAGAACAAGATAACATTTTCCAAAATAGTCTGTAGCAAATACATAATGAAGTGTATTTTTCTAGAGTGGGGAAAGAACAAAAAAACAAACAACCCCAAACCCTACTAAAGCTATACAAGACTACAAGAAAAAAAAAAATAAATCAGGCTAACTCAAAAGGACAAAAATCACACCTGAGACAAAGTAATCAGAATAGTCTTCCATTTATGAAAGAATTAAACACACTGTTACTACTCCAAGTAAGCTCGATCCCATTCACAGTGAAATATCAGAACTAGTCTGTTAACTTGAAATTTTTACTTCATATCTAAAAATAATTCTTAATTGATTATAAACATGAAGTCCCTTAAGTACACCACTTTCAGAGACAAGAAATTCTGGATACTTGATAAGTTCATCCTCAGTTACAGTACAAATCAGAAAAAACAAAACTATATAAAAGTGTGGATGACACAACTAGTGAGAAGCTCAAGGCATTAGATTTCACTCGGTATGCCGGACTAAAGACGTCTTAAACAAAATTAAAAATTAAGTTTCACGTACAAGGTGTTTAATAATGTACATTCCCTGCACAGAAAAAAACATTACCACTTGCTGTTGCAGCATTTGATGAATTTTATTAGTTTTAACTACTTTCAGCTAAACCAATTGTGTCAGAAGGAAGATTAAAGCATAACTAGCATTTAATGATGAAAAATCTACCTGCCATTGTAACAATGAGATAGGGAGCTCAGCATGGTGCGCAACCTGACTGGACACCTCATTAAGTGGGATACCTCATGAGTGTCATGTTTTAATCAATACACTCATACCACTTCTATTACAACAGGAGCAAGTCCACAAAACATCAGAGATGGAGAGGCAAGAAACAGATGTTTTTGTCCATCCATCACATCAGTACTGTCTGCTGTCCCTCAACCAGCTAGCTGGCCACCTCTGCCCTCCTGCGGGCCAAAGCACACATCAACCTCCAGCCAGCCCAAGAGAGTGGGAAAGCCAGGTTCACCTTGACAAGACAAACACCGCAGCCCAATGTCAGTTTTGGTTATTCTGTGGACACAAAAGATATGTTTTCAGGAACTTTGGTAGGATGTGCCCTTACTTCCTTTTAAAGTTCCGCTGGTAAATGGAGATTGAAAGAACAACTTCACTGACTGATTCTAATTTCTCTCCATCTACAAATCTCATTAAAAGATAACTGGTCATTTAAGTCCTTTATTTCTGCTCTTGCCTCTCAACATTACAGGAACAGATCTTGGGAAATCAGAAGATACATGGTTAGAGGAAAGAGCTACACTGAATACATGGCCAGGATAGTAAAGCAGCTTGATTAAACACACAGGGTACCCAAAGAGCTTAGTATTTGCAAGTCAATTCCAGACTCCTTCCACCTGCCTAACTGAAAGAAAAAAGGCTGGCCCAGTTCCAACAGCTGGATTGGATTTAACTAATGCCTTCCCACTTACATTGCAACTATACTCCCTAGAGTATAGTTTATATACTTTATGACATGGGTGAAAGTGCAAGACATGAAAGGTGGTGTTTGCATTGATGAGGTAAATACCACTCTTCTGTAGAAAATGCTTTATTAGGCTTTTTTCCTTATTCCTTCTCTGACACCTTTTAACAAGCATGAAATACTGCAATGCACATGAAAATGCAGAAGCCTCAGGAGCTGGGCTGGTTTTGGGCGAAAAAAAAAAAATTCAATTGCTTGTTTGTATACAATTGCTGAGATGATTAAGGTTGTCAGCTGCCTATCTTTGCTTAACATTAGAAGCTAAATATTCCTTATTTGCATAGACATATAATTACTGTGTGTAAAGTTGAGGCTTAAACTGATGATATTGTTCTACTTGTTCTGATACAGCTGGCTCCAGCCAAAAAAATAAAGAGACAAAGGGACACTGACAGAAGGTGATATTGCTGTTCTACCTCTTCACACTTTCAAAGTGCATATAGCTTACTCCAAGAATTACACATACATCTCAGCACAGCAAGGAAGAATTCTGGAACTACTTAATCGAAATTCTCGGAGAGCATCACAATGGTCTAAGTGCAACTACCTAATCACAATTGCAAGAATTAAAAACAATGATGCTGTGCAGATTAATTCTCTCTTCTGGGCATGCAAAAAGATTTGACATCCATGCCAAACTAAACCAAATATTTATTTTAAATTAACTCTTTCAGCTAGGCTTATCCCTTTAGTTACAAGCATCATGGATTATTACTCAGCTTTCCCTTCCCAGGGTATGTTCTAAGCAGACTCTTCTTCCCCATGCCCAATTTTGAGACTTACCTAATTAACAAGTACTCACATAAGCTCTAAATAGTCCTTCTACGAAAAAACGTGATTTTTTTTTTTCCAGTGGTATAGACTACACAGTTAGAACAACTTCACTTCTGGCTTTGTTATCACAGCTCCATATTAAATTATGCTGACCCAGTTAAAAATGCAGGCAGGGGGCAAGGATTCCACAGTACAAGCAGCAGATCTACCAAAGCAGCCAAACAAACTTACTGTGTGTCTGCACACTGATCTGATACTCCAAGACAGTTTTATATCATTTGATTATTATTTGACCTGAAAGGTATTTGCTCCTCTTTTAGGGAAATATTCTATTATTTTGCAGAAGGTTTTAAAACTTAGTTGAGATTCTCTGTGTGCTGTAGAATCTTAATATTACAGAGTTTTCTTTTGGTTTGTAACCTTTAAACACAGCACTAGGTACATTAGGAGTGGAGAGCAATATTTATGCTACTGTATTTTATTATAGTCTGTCTGGGACTCATGCTCCTCAGGGTTAATAAAGACCACTGAAGGAAAACTAGTATTTTTGCAGTTGGAGCTGCCACACTTATTTTTTTTTTTAATCCTCAGTTTAAGGCCCCTAAAATTAAGACCAGCTGCTTTTTGCTAACCAGTCTGTGGCAAGATAATTCAAATATCTGAACCTGGCTAGCCTCAGCAAACTGAGCGAGTTGAGATATCTACCGTAACTCTTTTACTTGGTGGGTAATGACTCATTGAAGCCAGACACTCATGCCAACATGGAAAGCCACAAGCCTCCAATTATTGCTGCTCATGATGCTGACTCGCCTGAAAGCCCTATGGAAGCAGACAAAGGTGCCCATCCACATTGTCTGCTTCTACTGCTCAAAAAAATCTTGGCAGAAAAGCAGTTGTTGTGTTTATTTCTTACCAGATCTTTTGTAAGCATATTATCTGAGGTCCCAATATCTTCCCTGCATTTGTTTAATCTCCACACTGAGCTACTACCAGCAAAGAAGTGAGATGTGAGCACCCATGTTTTAATTCCCATACACCAATCACCCAGTTTACAAGTACAGACATATCAAACAATCCTCAGGAGACTGGATTTGAAGCCAGTTAGTTGGCTGCATTCAACACAAATTGCACCAATACTGAAGGACACAAAGCAGTCTGGAACACAATCAACACGTTTTCTACTGGTTTTATACAGCACAAAACAGCTGGAATTCTCTACTTGACATCAAAACTCAGCTGGGAGAAGGCAGACAGAATCTAGTAGATTTCCAGTTACTGCTACTGTATGACTCAAGGATATCATATGCAGTGAAAAGTTTTACATCATTTCCATTCAGATGCAGATCTCAAAACACTGTTAACCCCACCTTTACTGATCTTAGACTAAAGACTGCAACACACCCATATGGGCTCCCGTTGAAGTTAAACTGAAGTTTCCAGGTAACCCCACAGCATCCCAAGCTAAACTCATCACTGCACAAAACCAACAGACAGGTAGGTAGGCAGTGAGAATCACCAATTTATTTGAACAAGGTGGTCCTAACAGGGCAAGGAACCTGTCCACGTAGTATTCCAAAGAGTGCTGGCAATGTAGTCAATGATACCTTCATTTTGACAAGGGTTCACCTCGAAAAACTTAACTGTGGAGTTCAGTCCAAAAGAAACTACTGGTCTGAAGGACACCTATATTAAGTTGTTCTTCTCTTGTATATTTTGAAAAGAGAAGGCATACTGAATTTTACAATGCATTATCTGAATACTGTGATATGCCAAATAAGCACCAAAGAAAGTGGATAACCAAGATAGTCTAACTACAAGTGATTCCTATTCCTACTTTTTTAGGAAGTTAGAAGATTAGGGCTTCTTGACACACTAAATCGGTACATGGATTTGAAATTTGGTAGTTTTGTGTTACAGGAATCTGCTTTCGCCAGTACACAAATTTCTAAAAATATATTTGTTATTTTCCTGTATTGCATGAGCAGCGTAAATGTTTTAGAGTTTCCTGGAAACAGGCGCTTAACCTGTCTTTGAGGGAGAACAAGTGAACCACCTACACTGACTCCTTGGTCTCTCCTAAGATATGACACCACCTTTGTGCTCTCCTAGAATTTCTAAGCAAGCATCCCTCCCATTCCCTCCCTCATTGAGGGAAAGTACACAGATTTGTCTATTCAAACAGAATAGACAATTGCCATTGCAAAAGAGCAGGAGTCCCTTTCCTCCTCCATAGTCTAGAAGTCCAGAAGAGTCTGAAGAAGAGTCCAGAAGATCAATTCAGAGCCATAGGTTTATTTTTTTACTAATGGATGTTACCAGAAACCAAATCTACCACTTAATACTATTTTTCACTGACAAGATACCATATTCACTTGTCTACAGCACATGAAAACAACAGAGCAAAACTACTACCGTTCATGATAACTAGGTGCAAACATCAGACTAAAATTTTGATCTTCAGATCAACATGAAAACTTAAATTCTTTCAAATGTAATAGCTTTTATAAATTGCAGATAATAACCACTTTCAAGAAAGTAATTACAATTTTAAGTGTTTGGTCAGAAAAGCCTCACAGATTTCTGGGGCAAATGCCAGAAGACCAGATATTCTTAGGCTGGCCCAGTATTTATACTAGTTTCTCTTACAAAGTAAAAAAAAAAATAAAAGAAAATCTACTATGCTAAATACTAGCCAGATACCTTCTTGTGCAATCTATGTTTGAATAAAGACACTCCCTTTTCAGATACTTAAACAGTCTTCAACTGTAATATCAAAGTACCTCAATCATTCTATGAATCTATGATGTGTTTATAAGCACCTCCCTGAAGTGAGGAAAAGTTCTGTTATTCCATCTATAAAATGGGAAAACAATTGCAATTTGCATACATTTACAGGGTGCCATGAAAAAAACAGCAAATAAAGTCCCTAAGGAGCTAGGCTATATTCATCCACAGCAAGCTTTTTTGGTATAATATTATATGGCTCAAATGAAATCAGATTTTCTTTGGTGTTTTTTGAAAGATACAATCAAAAGGCAAAAAAAGATTAAACATGTGCTAGCTGCCTAATTAAATC